AAGAAAGTTGGAAAGAAGGCCAAGACATTCTAAAAAATTGAATGTTGTTTTTCAACCAAAAATTTTCTCTTTCTTTAGCTGGTTATCAGACTGGGAAAAGATATAATAAAATAATCTTTCTCAAGACAATCAAGCACAAAGGGAAACTGCAAAATCTTGTGGCAATTTTCAGCATCCTGGATTGTTGCTAAGAAATTTGGCCACTGGCTAAGATTTTAAGTGAGGCAGCTCAAAGATGGTTTAACTTGACACCCAGCCTGAAAACATCATTTGATTCCCAAAAATACTACCTACCATTTCAACCGCCGCCTTTTGCCATTAGTCAGCACTTACCAACACCCCAGAGCATTTAAAAGTTAATTTTGAGGCAAGGAGTAGGAGGGACTTATCAGAGAAGGGGCTTAAATGGGAGACTTGCATTTATAGCACACAGATATGACTCTAGAGATCACTTTTAAAAAGTCAGCCACAGTATCAATAAATAAAAACTATTTGCCAAAGTGGAGGTGGCTGGTGGTGGATATTTACTGAGCCACAAGGTGGCAAAGTAAATATTCACTGCTAACTGCTGACACTGAGGTGAATAGTAGTTTTAATATATACTAAAATAGTGCAAAAATATAGCACAAAAACATTATTTTACCCTCTGTATTCCTACATCAATTACAATATTTTCCGGCAAATTCCTGCCTGAGTTGCTTGGAGGTGAACAGCAAAGGATTAATTCATAGTTTGACTAGCCAATCAGAATGCACTCTCAGTGCTATATCCACTGGTTATAGAATATACTAATCCATATCGTTTTCATATACAAATTATGTATTTGAACTACTCTACACTTGGCAGAATCTGTCCTCATTTTTCCAGCCAATTTTGCCACCATTTCAAATTATCTCATTAGTGTGACAAAGTCAAAGGCATTGACAACATTAAATATAAAATGCAACACTTTGTCATATTTAAAAAAGGAATGGAAAAGGAAAAGCATATTCCTCTTGCTGCTTAACTCCTTAAGTATTTTTAATTCTCTTTATAGCTTCAAAATGTATTTGAGCATCCTAACAAGATCTTTCCTCAAAATTTGTATTATCCATCAGTCTGTAATTATTCATTTTCCTACAGTAATATATTTTTAACTCACTGCTTGGTTTTCCCATGCGAGGGAGGAAAGACATAAAAGTGTTCTCAGCCAATAGATAATTTAAGTTTGCAGGCGTGTACATAATACTCAAATCACAGCAGGTGTTATCTTAATTTTTGTGTTTCTGCCACTTTACATGGATCCGCTTCACAGTACTCGAACAATCATCCAGCTAAAGGGCTGTTAAAAATCTACAGATACATTGATGGACCACTGAACGGCCTGACACAAAATCAGCTTTCATTTCCCTGTGATCTTTCCCTTCTCGAGTTGGAAAATAAATTATCAATAATTATCTGGTTCGTCGCCATCGATTGTTGCGATTCGTCAGTCACGGATATCAGTGCGGAGGATTTAGAAATCGGTTGTAAATATCGGGAAAAGAAAAATACTTCATCTCTCAACAAGATTCTCTGACAAAACATAAATATAGAAACGGAAAAATATAAAGAGGTTCTTGAGGTTTTCGAGGTTAAACGACCCCATTGATGACGCAATGAAAGAAATAAGAAGTCGGGGTTTTTGGATCTGTATATAATACTAAGCTTGAAATGTTTCGACATCAAAAACATATTTTCAGGTTTGAAAATGAAAATCTGGGTGGCATTACCTGACCAAAAAGAACGGAGTAGCTTATCAGAAGTCAAGCCAGGATATGGTTGATTGAATTGTTTTCTGTTAAAAAGCAGCTGTAAAAAGTTATTAAATAAATGTACAACCACGATCAAGAGTCGCACTCGACGGAAACCAAGGATAAAATGATTCAAATCTACCTGTATTCATCCAGTTCCATTAACGAGCCAGGGAAATTCATGAGTGCAGGAGAAATAGATCCTGGTCTTGACGAAACACTTTTCCTAACTGTAGGTGACATTTCAGGCGTTTGGATCGCCTTCGGCTCTGCCGCCATGTCTTGTTTTCTTTTGAACTTGCCTTAGTAACCGCGTTCAGCTCGTAATGTAGCCAAGGGTTACCCAAAGGGGAGGGGTAGATCGAACAGGCTATACGCTATTTTTTTGGCGCGTCGTAACCACCAAAAACAGAGAGAGCAAGAAGAAGGAAAGGGAAAAAAAAAAAAAAGAACCGGGGAGGTGTAGACATCAAAATTGCCTTGGTATGTCATAGAGGAGACTAGAGAGCTAAAGGCTTGGCAAATGTAAATATCTCATGAATTCTGTTGTTTCCAGATGCTCTGATTTTCAAGATCCTGCTATTTCTTTCCCACGAATCGAACAATACGCAGAACGGATAACCTTTTCATTTCGAGTGCCATTATTAATGTTTTTTAGATAAGGTATGCGTAAAGATTTAATGACTCCGAAGATTTTTTATTATAATTTTTGGCAAAATATATTGTAACTAACAATCAGTTGAATGACTACGTGAGTGATCTTCGCATATATGATTTTCATCTATATCCACAATCATTGAAACATATATATGGTTTTATTAAAAACTAGATCATCGGATAATGCAATTTAAGAGTTTCCGTTAACCTCACGTGGGCTATTGTGCGGGAGGTCTGGGTACAAGACCCAAACCGGACCCACACTCAGGGTCTTAAAATAACTGAGGAGAGTGTGTTGCCTTTGTTATGATATCTGCAAGCGGTTAGACATTCTAGTCTTCTCGGATAAGGACAAAAAGCCGTAGGCCCCGTCTCCTGCATCTTCTCAGTACTGGTTAGAAGGGGACGTTAAGGAACCCACACACTTATCGCAAAGAGTAGGAGACGTAGTTCCCGGTGTTGTGGTATGCCCTAAGTTCTGAAATCGGGGGCATCTGCTAAATTTCCTTAAAAAAAATTAGAAAATGCTCAATGTAGTCTGACCAAAGGTGCATTTGATCATATTCCGATGTTAGTTTGCGCCTAATAAATGATAAATTATTATTATTATTATTATTATTATTATTACTATTATCATGGTTAATAGCCTTTATACCATGCTCTACAAGTATTGTAAGTGTACATTGTACGTAACATTCCGTTTGTTCTTATAGTTCTTATAATAATGTTGGGAAGATTTGTCTTTATTTTGGGGCATTTTTAATTAAATCATTATTCCACTCGCGCTTTTTGGACATATAAACAATAACCTCTATTTAGCGCGAAAATATGTGCGGATATTTGTCCGCGAACATTATCTGTTCCTAGATGCTCAAAGTTTTCCGACAGCTAAGCTCGAGAAAAACTGTAAGCTTCGAGGAATAGATAATGCTCAAAAACAAATATACGAGCATGTTTTCCAACAAAATATATAAAGACTATTGAATTAATTATCGTTCAAGTATTTTGCAACGCGCATGCAAGTATTTTGTAACCTGGGGGGTGGGGGGTGGGTCGAAGGGTTTTGAATGTGTCACATGATTAAGCCCCTTAGGGTCCGTGGTA